GACTTCCTTGAATCAGGACAAGTAGCCTAATTGGAATCACAAAAAGCATTGACAGTGAGGTCAGGTTTAGTGGAAACAAAAACTCCTAAAGTAGGATCTTGTTTGAGATATCTTAGGGCATGGTAAGCAGCCTTCAAATGAGGTTCTCTGGGTGACTGCATGAACTGGCTGAGGTGCTGGACACTATATGTTATATCCATTCTTGTGTTGGAGAGAAAATTGAGCTTGCCAACCAACTTTCGATAGTGAGTAGGACCCAATAATAACGTGCCTTCTGTGGCTTTTAGTTTTTCAACCGGATCAAGTGGTGAAGTAGTGGTCTTGCAGTCAAGTAAATCGAACTCCTTCAGGAGGTCAAGAGTAAACTTTCTTTGTGAAATGAGGACACCATCAGGTCTATATAGTATTTCCAATCCCATAAAATAATGTAGTTTCCCCAAGTCCTTTATTCTAAATTGATCATGCAAGAAAGCCTCCAAAGAGGCAATTTCCTCAAAGTCAGTCCCAGTCAAGATGATATCGTCAACATATACAACAACAAATACTAGTGAGCACCCTTTCTTCTTATAAAAGAGTGAATAGTCACTGTTTGAATGAGTGTACCCCTTTGAGCAGAGGCTGCTAGCTAATTTGTCATACCACTGCCTGCTAACTTGTTTCAACCCATACAATGACTTCTTCAATTTGCAGACCATGGCTTTACTATCTATTGCAAGTCCTTGTGGCAATGTCATGAAGACCTTCTCATTCAAGTCACCATGAAGGAAGGCATTATTAACATCTAACTGATACAAGTCCTAACCTTTCTTAACAGCTAAGGAAATAAGAGTCCTTACAGTAGTCATTTTCACTACAGGTGAAAAGGTCTCATTGTAGTCTATGTCAGCCTGTTGTGTGTATCCTTTCACTACCAATCTTGCCTTGAATCTCTCTATACTTCCATCTGCCTTGTATTTAATTTTATACACCCATTTGCACCCAATGGCATGCTTGCCTTTAGGCAAAGGGACCAGTTCCCATGTGTTATTTGCATACAAAGCATCAAATTCTTGTGTCATTGCCATTTGCCATGCAGGGTTTAGGATTGCTTCTTCATAAGAGGAAGGTTCACTGTCATGTGAAATGGTATGAACTAGTTGCTGACTCTTGGGACATAGGGAGGTTAAACAGACATAGTCATGATTAGACATAAATGAGGTGAGGGAATGTAGTGGAGCAGAGGTATCAGTGTTAGAAGTGGAAGGATGCAGTTTAGGCAAGGTGTAATTATATTCTTTTAGGTAGGTGGGGGTGTGAATGGACCTAGTTGTCCTTCTAGGTTTTTGTGAAGCAGCACTATGTGAGAGTGTGGGAGCAATTTCAGGCTGTGTACATGGATTCAGTGTAGTTTCAGTATCATTATTATTAGTGGACACATGATCATGAGTAACTCTTAGTGATGCATGAGAATTCAACACTTCATCATGAACAAAAGTATTATTTGTACCAGGTACACTGGGCAATTTATCAGAATGATGGACAAGTGAATTTATGACGGAATTAAAACTTGAATTGACAGGAGCAGTAACAAAAGGAAAAATAGTTTCATGAAAAAGAACATCCCTAGACATATGAATTCTTTTGGTAGCCAAGTCTAGGACCTTGTAACCTTTTGTATTGTAGGGATATCCAACAAAAATGTGTGGTGTGGTTCTTGGTTCAAATTTATCCTTGTGGCTTTTCAAGGTGGTTGGAAAACAAAGGCATCCAAAGCTTCAAAGGTGGGAATAGGTTGGCCTTTTTTTATACAGTAACTCATATGGGGATTTGTTATGTAACAACTTTGTGGGCAGTCTATTGATGAGATATGTAGCAGTGAGGACACATTCTCCCCAATATCTTACATGTAATTTTGATTGGAACAAGAATGCCCTTGCTGTTTCAAGAAGATATTTATGTTTCCTTTCTACTACACCATTCTGTTAAGGTGTATAAGGGCAGGATTTTTGGTGTATGATGCCTTTTTCTTGGAAAAAATAAGTTGCTTCTGCATTTGTGAACTCCAAGCCATTATCAGATCTGATGGCTTTAAGTTTAGTTTGGAATTGAGTTTCTATGAGAGTTACAAAGGCTTTTACAGTTTGTAATGCATTGCTTTTACACCTAAGTAATTGTGTCCAAGTAGACCTGCTATTAACATCTACCATAGTGAGGAAGTAATGATAACCATTATGAGTGGGCACATGATATGGTCCCCATAGGTCAATGTGAAGTAGTTCAAATACCTTGGTGGTTGTGGTAGTGCTGTCAGGGAAGGGCATTCTGGTTTGTCTAGCCATAGGGCATATGGCACAAGTAAAAGGCTGTTTGTTTGAAAAATGTATTGGTATGGTAGAGATACCTCTCATCTTTACAAAAGGCACATGTCCAAGTCTAGTATGCCACAAGAATTCACTACCTTGAGCATGAGTATGAACAGAATTAACAGCAAAGGAAGGAAAACTATTAACAGACCTTGAAGGAAAACCAACAGTACAAACTTCTTTATTAGAAACATGAGAACATTTTACATTGGATGGTGCTGAAGTTTGACATTCAGTCCCAGTTAAGACTTGCTTATTTTGAACTGAAGAAAGAACATGCTGGTAATTGGAAAAACAATCAGTAGAACAACAAATGACATGAGATAAACCACCAGAAGTTGGTCCACAACTGTTGCATTTTGGACAGAAAAAATACAGTCCATTCCTAGCTCTACCAAGTGCCAGAGGGCTCTTCAGAGAAGGGCCCTACAATAGACAAGAAAAGCTGTCAAAACTGATTGTTCCTTTGAGCTGGAGTGCCAAACAATGAACTGAAATTAAGTTGAATTTGAAACTAGGTATGAATAAAACTTTGTACAGAGTTAAAGTTGAACTCAAACAAACATCACCAATTTCAATTACTTTGACCTTGTATCCATTTGGTAAGGTGATCAAGGAGGGATAAGGTAGTGTCCTAAGGTTAGTGATGGCATTTTTGGTGTAAGTCATGTGATGTGATGCTCATGAATCTATGATCCAAGAATTAACAGCTAATCTAGCACATTTACATGACAAATTACCTATCTCAGTAATTGAAGAATAACAAAGCCAATATACATGCTAGGTTCACTGCTCCGCTAAGCATATCTCTTGAGCCATCAGTCCCATTTCCAGCCTGCAGAGATCCTAGGAGGTTGAGTAGCTGCTCATATTGACCTTTGGACAGATTCACTGGTATTTGCTTCCTTGACTCATCAGGTACCTCATTTCGGTTCATGTCTTCCTCAGAACTGTACACATTTGCTGCAGACCCTGAGCTTCTTCCTTTGGAAGGTCTAGAATTGGATGGGTAACCATAAAGTTTGTAGCACCTATCCTTGGTATGTCCAGTACGTTTGCAAAAGTCACAAAATAAATTTGATATGTTACTAGTGCTAGAGTTGCCTCTGAAAATAGTGTTGGGATTGCAGCTGCTAGCACCTCCTTTTGAGGAGGTGTAGCTGGTCCTAAAACCTTTGGATCCTGCAGCAACATTAGATGAAACAGAGGCATTCAATAAAGTGGATTCCAAAACAGTGTGATTGTGAGGCTTGACTTCCCTTTGTCTTTCCTCTTGTGATAATATGGCAAAAGCTTGTGCCATGCTAGGCAATGTAGACATCATGAGAATGCTTCCTCTCACAACAGTGTACATTTCATTCAAGCCCATCAAAAAATGCACCAATCTCCTATCCTGTTCAGCTTGGTGCATTTTGGCTTTACCACCACAAACACACACACAGCTACATTGAGAGTGAACATCAAGAGTGCTCATTTCCTCCCATAATTTCTTCATCTTCGTGTAATAACCAGTGACATCCAAGGTCCCTTGTACAAGATCATTGATCTCCTTTTGCAACTGATAGAGTTTACAACCATTAGTCTGGTCATATCTATCTTCCAGTTCATCCCAAAGTTCCTTGGCATTGTTAACATATTGTAAACTGTCGCGCAGATCAGGTGATAGGGAATTAAGGATCCATGAAGTCACCATATCATCACACCTCTCCCACTGCATGAAAGAAGGATCTGTAGAAGTCGGCTTAACAACTTTGCCAGTGATGAAACCAGTCTTACTTTTAACAGATAGGGCCCTGAGAACAACTCGTCTCCAAGATCTGTACCCAGTTCCGTCAAAAACAGCTGGTAATAATGTTGAACATGCATTCTCAGAAGGATGCAAGTAGAGTGGACTACCGAAATCCAATTGAGCAGGAACAACAGGTGCATCTCCCATGGATGAAGATTGGAGAGTAATTGGGAACAATCCGAGAAGTGTGAAGTAAGAAGGAAACGAGAAAGAAGAACAAATAGCAGGGGAACAAAAAATCACAAAATCCCTAAATCATAGTCGTGAAATCGAACTGAGAATCGAAGGATACGCAATACTCACGAAACAATGTGGATGCAGAAAGTAGGAATCATCCCCTGTGCTTTGATACCATGACAAAATCAACAGCATAGGCTGGAAAACATCAGGCTTCCTCCATTGATGGAGGTTTGAAGCTCACGAGAAAATATTCAGAGAGAGAGAAAGTGGAAAGATATTATTGAGAATCAAAAACTGAAAATAAACAATACAGGGTATTGTGTATATATATACACATTGTTCAACTAACCAACTTGATCTGACACAATAACAAACTTAACCAACTGATTTTGTGAACTCAACTAATTCTATGAACTCTAAAGCTAAATGTGATGAATTAAACTAATTACAAACTAATTGAAACTAATTGTAATCTCATCACCTACGAATAGCCGAGTTGACACAAACCTGACTTGGACATCACCGTTATAAAAATAAAATATAAATGTAGCAATTCCAATGCGAACCATGACGAGGAAACCTGCATCTAGAGATTACAACAAGGAATCATAGATTACAAGTAAGAGAAGCCATTCTAGAGATTAGAGAAGAATCAAGAAATGACAAGAACTAAAGAAACCACTAGCGTCTAGTTAATTATTCTTTCTTATATGAACATCTGTAGTATCAAGAATATACATGAGCAAATATCGAATGTGGCTTCCTCCCTCAGCCCCCGACTGCAGATAATTAGTGCTTACAGTATAAAAAAAAAAGAAGTGAGAGTTGGCTTAAAGGCAAGAAAATTTCAGTTCAACTCTAGGATTAGATTCTATTACACACAATTATAGCTCTAAGTTAAAACCAAACTATCGCTGTAGTTGAAGCATTAAGGGTTCTTTTGCTAACCAGTGAACGATATCAATCAATTCTGTATTTATATCAAATACTTCAGTATCAGGATAACCTTGCCCAGTATTCTGCGATTCATCCTAAGGAAGGTTAGCTGGCTTTGGAGGTTGCTCTACTGATCCAGTCTCCTGAAAAGTTAGGTGGGACAGATAAGTTAGTCACCGTTCTAGTTCTAAATAAATCATCTAAAGAGGATATGCTTAAGAGACAATGTCTGAAGCAGCTTAAACAGAACATAGAAAAAAAGAATCAAACAGAACCACTCTGCATAATGATATCTGAAAAACTAATAAATTCCCCAGAAAGTTCTCCAAATGCACAGGAAAGAAAGTTCTGTCACTGAAAATGTATTGTCATGCACTGATCATTAAAAAAGTACAGTCATGCAATTGGGTAGTAAGGAATATTGTCACAACCAGTAAAGAAAGAATTTGAAAGCAATCGAGCTGATGAACTTTTGCACCTTTTGTCATAAATTCATAACTAAGAGGTGCCAGTAATTGTCTAAAGAGACTAAACTAAACGTTAGGGTCGCTGCAACTATCCATGTTCTCTCTAGGAAGTTTTCCAACCGTAAGGCAACTACACAAACCCCATAAATATATGAATGATTGACAATCCAACGAGAGAGGGATAATAACCTCATGGGATATTTTTCCATTTCGGGTGTGGGGGATGGGAGGTGGGGTAGGAGAGTTTTGTAATACCTGTTGAATATCTTGAGCCCTGGATAAGGTCTTGAGCTGGCAGTTTTCTATGTTTGAGAGCAGCTGCATTACAGTTTTCAGCTGAGGAACACTGCAATCATTAACTTTGACATGAGAGCAGTTGAAAAAGGAGTAGTCAAGACAGCTGAATCCCGGAAGAATAATTCCTCTATCACAAAGGAAGCAATTTCCATTGCAATTATCAAAGTAAGATCACACTAGCATAAAACAAGACTGGTAGCTGTTCATCTATTGTCAAGCTTACAAAAACTCTATCCTAATTCTTTGCTTTATTAATCACAAACTTTAATGGTCAAACTTGTGAAAATCCACGCAAGTTTAGAGTCGTTAATCAAAAGAAAATTATAAGTCACGTCTTCATGCCTAACTTGAAAAAATAACGTGCTATGCAACTCTACAGCCTAGAAACACTTAGTTATATGAAGATCACACTCTCTTTTACACACGATCCAAATCTTTCCTCCTATTTCCTTTCTCTTGCTCTACAAAGAGAGCTGATCAATGTATAATTTCTCATTAGAGCATGTCTACCTAGTTCCATACCCTGAAACAACCTTCTTTTTTCTGAAGTAAAGGCAGGATATACATTTTAGTGGAAGATAATTTTCAGCGTGTAACGAGATAGATGACCAGCATCCCAACAAAAATCATTCTCGGATCATATAAGCATTGACGCATTCCAAACATCAAGTTGCATATTACAAGCTCACTTTGAGAGAAAAAAGTTAATTACAAGGTAATTTCATCAACCATTAGTTTGTAAAACCAAAAATGCGTGAAAGGGCTAACCTTTGTAACCCGTTGTCCATATGAGCATCCAATGACGAAATCACCCGAGGCAGCTGCTCCAATACCTGCAACGAGCAAAATCAAAGCAATAAAATTAGGATTGAGGCTTCCTCCAGGGTCACCTTAATTGAAATTCATAACTTATAACTATAGGAGGACCTGCATACCAGCTCAGTATTCTTGATAGTAGATGTCTTGGCAAAAAGACTCTTTGGTAGCTTCATCAGTTCCGCCTGAAGCATATCGAGAAATGTGTCAGCAATACATGAAGTACACGTTAAATCCATAGTGGCCCTAACGTATACTTCGTGTATTTTTTACCCAATATAAAAAAAGTAACGTACATGTTAAGGCTACTAAGTATCTAAACATTCTTAAGCCAGAACCTTGTGCACAAAGCTTTAAAAAGACACTCCCTACATAACTGTCTATATAAAGGCATTTAACTGAGCACGGAGTTTACAACAGTAATTTAACATAAGAAACTATAAAAGTAGTTGATAAGTTAGTTGACGATTGAAGTATTAAAAGCTATAAGTATTTGTGGAATGATATCACACATTACGGAATGTCTCGAAATGGAGAGAGCTGTCATATAAATTAAAATGGACGAGGCAATACAATAGATATCCAAGTATGCATTGATACATAGAGTAAAGGCGGAAGTGATTCGACAAAGATCCCTAATTAGCAGCTTATTGCCTTGAAGGTCACTCATAATTTGCTATTGTTGTTAACAATAGAAACTGAAGAAATCTCTTTTTGTGGTTCCCCCACTACCAATCAATCACACTTCAGCCAAGAACTTCCTGCAAAGTAATAAACCCCAATTGCGAAAAGTCTAATCTTTGTTCTATGTGGAGCTGTATTCAGCATTTAAGGCATACCCATGAAGAGAATTTAGCTATTAGAAGAGAATCAAGTACACCAATTGCTACAAGAGCATAAGCAAACAACTGGGAAATTAATTTTAAGATGAATTGATCTAGAAAAAAAATAAGGAAGGAAAGAGAGAAGAGGTGCCTGAGATGGGGAAGACTGAAGCATGAGATGAAGGAGATTGGAAGTAGACTGTATAGACTGTGTAATTTGATCAGCCACCATCGTTTTCGCTGTCCCATCTCTGCTACTGCCGCCCTTGACCGTCGACGTCGGCGTTGCCATCAAAATTTTCTCGGTGGGTATAGAGTGTCTGACTCTTGAGTTCGCCTGAATTCACAAAAAATAAAATAAAAAAACAATTTTTTTCCCTTTCCTATTTATGTGTTTCTCACGTTTTTTGTTTATTTTACTCCTAATAATTCTAATTCACTAAACTGTTCACTTTTAGATTTTAATTTGATATTTTCTCTGATATACTAACTTTTTAATCTACTCACGGGTTTACAAGAATTCAGTTTGCTCATAATTTGTATATGTATTTAAAAAAAATTATGAAATTTTAAGCTTCAAATCTTGAATTTGATTCTATTTTTAATCACTATTGAAATTTCTTCTTTCCGTAAAAAATTAATATGCAAAGCATATGAGAGAGTGGAGTACTGGATTCTCGTCTAACGGGAGTGTTCAAGGGAAAATTAAACAAATACGCCAAACGAAAACTCGAATTTATTTTTGGTTTGGATTGATATGGTATTCAATTATCCATAAGTTGGCAATATTTAGTTTGATTTGAATATATTATACGTACCCTTAAACTTGAGCACCAAAAGATTCAAGTGCACAAGACAAAGAAAGTAACAACATACAAGTAATTATACCTGGTGATTTTTATCAACAAAGATTTTAAAAAAAATGGTGTTTTACGTTTTGTTTGTTCCAACTTCCAACTTGTTTATAGGACTTGTCGGCATTCAAAATTTTAAGTTTCTGGGACACACATAAGTGTATATCGAAAACGAAAAAGTTGTCAAAATTAGAACTGATAAATTTATATCACTATTTAATAGTTTAAGAACAGATGTTGAGAAAATGGTCTAAACCCTCCCCAACCTATACCAGAAATCCCAACTACACACTTCAGCTTTACGAGTATCCTATTACCCAGCTGAACTTTATATTTCTCTATTTTATACACACCTTTGGGGGTTTAGACCATTTTCTCACAGATGTTAATCAGTTTGGTTTCTTTTAAGCAAGAATTGAACCATGAATACGCGATTTCATGATCAAAGAGAGTCTTTCCGAGCAAGCCTCACTTAGCAATTCACATAAAACTCATTTAGTCACTACATCTCAGAAGTGCCCAATAAATGTTGGAAAGGGTTTTCTGGCACAGAAATAAGTAGGCATGGATTATCCCTGTTGCAAAGCCATAATAAGGAAAGCATCCGGCACCCATGCATTGCAAGAAATTCAAGATGTCAATAAACTATGAGAGACTCGTAAAACTGATCAACTTGCAATCATCTCTAATTTAACGATCTTTTACTAATCTCTAATCTGTCAGATCTTAAATGATGAATTTTCCTACTGGTATTATAAGATTATGGTTTCAAAGGTCATAAAGTTATATATTGGTACATCCTTCAAAGCAGTGATTGACCCTTCCTAGATGACTAGATAAATACACCATTTTCTACAGCCACAGCAAAAGACAGATATACTCACATCCACACGTAAACCATCTTAGCACATGGACATAGGGAATGAGAGCCTTGTGTCAGATACAAAGAGGATAAAGGTTGAAGAGGCTGCCGATAATTGAAAAAGAGAAACACGGTGCAATTGAGCGGCATGATGCCTCCCTCATGTAGAATAGAGAAGCATATCCAGATAGTACATAATGTTGATATACTTTCACAAAGAGTATCATAGCAACAATAGTGCAATACTTGTATCCAAGAAAATATGTGGCTGCCAAATCCTAAAGTTAGACAAGGTAAACGTTCCAAAGTTCCAAGTTAAGTTGCTTGGGCTTGTCGAATAAGGATTCTCACGATAACTGAAGTATACAGAAATTTCCTGAAATTAGGTTCATCATCAAAAGGGTAAGCCCAGCAGCCACATCACACCCCTTGAGGTACAACCCTTTCTCAGGCCCTGCGTGAATGCAAGATGCTTCGTGCACCAATCCATCCTTTCATGCTGATCAAATTACAGATTTAGGAGCATTACTTCCAAGCTATACACAAAAAAACAAGTATCTGTAGTACAATCCTGCCAAACTTAAGAAAAGCATTCAGGAGGAGAAAAGGTAGCAACAGAGCCCCTAGACAAAATCTATTAGGGTGCCAGATTAGCTTTCAAAATAGGTCAGACAATTGGGAACTGTGTGTTCCCAAAGCAATTCAAAAGAATATGATTAGACTTCCTTTTTCTGGTAGAGGAAGTGGATAAAAATGAGGAAGAGGAAATATACAGAATTCTGAAAGAACACTTCCAAGCCCCCAACAAACTGCCAAGTCTGACCTGTTGTAATGCCAATCTTTATCCAGCCCTTTTTAGCTCTAAGAAATCTGCAATTTCTTCCTCAAAACCAATCCCCCCATAGAGGATCAATCCCCTTTGCCCCACCATTTGTAGATAGATGAAGAAAAAGGTCCAGTATATTTGATTATTTTTTTTAAAAAAAAAGAAGTAATTGGAAATTGAGTTGTGTTTAGACATGCATTTAACTTGAAAAGAAGTTGATACTTTGTGAATAGAAAAAAAAAATCACTTGAAAAACTTGTCAAAACCATTTTTTCAAACTTGAAACTTCAAATGTATAACCAGACGGTTTTTTGAATAAAAATATGTATGGACACACAGGTGCTTAGGAGTCTTTCATCTTTTAAAAAAAATGCAGCCATGAGTGCTAAATTTAAATAAAGTAAACACTTTACTCCACAGTACTCAGTACTGACTGTTGAGCATTGGTATTTGGATAGTCTTAAAGATCATTCTTGCAATCTTTGCACATCTGAAACTCCCGTTACTCATAATAATGAGTCATATTTTTCTCAATGAGCCATCATATATGCACTACATATCAACCGTGACAATTATTTGAGAGGGACTTCCCGGCGCGAATCCAGATATAGTCCGGCTCCAATGTGGGTACCGGACACCGGGTGGGAAATTTAAAAAAAAAAAGACAATTATTTGAGAGGGGAATTTGGTGCCACTAGTGAAGATTGGTTGCTCAGTAGGGTGGAGATGTACTCATGTAATTAGCTAAGGGATGCTCCAGACGGCTGACCACGGTTACTTGAGACTTCGGATGGAGTTTAGCACCTGCCCATTCACAGAGCAAGGGAAGGGGAAAGTCGAAAAGGATTAAAAGGAGGAAGCTAGTAGCGGCTAAGGGGAATGAAGTACCACATAAAGACCATTTTTACCAAAAACAACCTGCTATGAAGTATCTTTGTTGCATTAACATAGTACATATAAGCCAGAAATGAAACTCCTAATCTTCTTTGCTATTGAAAGGGCAAGGTGTTACTTTTTGTTGATAGAAACATAAACATGATGAAAGCTTTATGTAACTGATAAACTGAATGATCAAAGAAGCAAATCACAGTCATCCCTATTTATTCTTTGAACAAATCATAGTCATCTCTATTTATTACAAAATGAGAAAAGAGATACTATCTGCATTTCGCAGAGAAATTACTTAAATGCAAGGTAAGGAAACATTAATTATAATGTAAGATTGCTCTCCAGTAAGGAATAAAAGAAAATGAAGCTCAACATTTTCTATTGTGTTCCTCATTCTCCTGTCCGATTCTGAAATAGAACTATAGTGCAAAGAACAAGTTTCAGTTGCAAAGCAATTGAAATCTATAAACTATTCCAAACACTACTTGAACAATAATTTCCCAGTTAGATAAAGGAATAAAGATAAGCTAACATTAGAATGCTCGCGAGGGAGGACCTGAAGCCTTCTCTATAGTCTGGAGAAGTAAAACTTCAAATTCTTCATCAATCTAACCCTCCTTAAGGAGATAGGTATCACACTTATGTTACAGCAAGCTCATTCATATATACATTGCATACTAAGAAAGGAAGTATTCTTTAACTATTTACTCGAGGTAATTAGCAGACAGTTCGAACCTCAAGATGAAGAAGCAGCCCTAATAGCTTTCTGCAACTCACTCTCAACATCACTAGCTCGATTCCCGTTGGAGGAGTTCTTCTTCACCTCTTTCTTCGGATTCTCTCCCCCACTATTCCTCTTATTCCTCCACTGCTCAAATCCCCCTGAATTCTCAATCACCTGCACACCTACAAACTCTGCCTCACCAACACCCTTCCTAACACCATTCCCCATCTTCATTTCCTCCAACCTATGTTTCATCTCTCTATTCTCTCTCTGCAGCATCTCCAACTCGTTTTTCATCCAAAAACACATACCTTTCAGCAACTCCGTTTCTCCCGAATTCTCATCCTTCTTCTCCTTCACCTCCTTAACTTCCTCAACTCTCTTAATCCCGATCTTATTCACACTTAAAAACGGCATCCTGCTTCCCAAATCCTTGGGGAAATTCACACCCCAACGGCAATCCATCATAACCTTATTAGTCAAAGGCATTTCCGTCTTCGCCATTACAGCAATCCCCTTAAAGACAGAATCTTTCGCATAATCCTCCATCGAGAATTCCTTAAAACTCGATGGCCTCTCCAAAGGAACAAAACCAAATGAATTCCCATCACCATTCTGCTTACCCACAGCACTAGAACTAGAATTCAGATCAGAAGTAGTGCTTTTACGAAGCGAAAAGGAACCCAATTGGGGTTTGAAGAGAAGGGTAAAAGTGGGATTTTGATTAGAATTCAAAGGGGAGAAGGAAAAGTTAGCAGAAATGACTAAAGGTGAGTTCTTGGGAGACCCAAAAACCCCAATTCCAGATTTGAGCGTCAGAGTTAAAGGAGGGGCGATTGGGGTGGTGGAGCTGGGAGTGGTGGGGGTTGATGCAGTGGAGTAGGCGAGTTTAAGGGTAGGTCCAGAAGGGAAATTGGTGGCAAGAGAAAGCGAGAGATCAGAAGGGTGGTGGGTGGTGGTGGAAAAGCAAGAAAGGAAAGGAAGATTGAAAATGGAAATGGGGATTTTGGCACGGAGGAGAAGTGGGTGAGTTTGTGATTGTTTTTGGTGATTCTGGGTTTGAGATTGCTCTTGGAGTTTCAGTGAGAGCTTCATCGTTTTCTCTCTGTAGGTAAAATGGAAGCTTTTCGTTTATGGGGGGATACTTGCCTTACCAAGATTGTGAAGCAGAGAAGCTCTGGTAAAAAGCTGAGTCTG